CGAGAGCAGCAGAGTAGCACTAGAGAGATCACTGCTGTTGATGTTCATCACACCTGCTGGGCTGTTATCGCTCCGATCGATGCTCTCGAAGCCCAGGCGGCTCCAGCGACAGACTCCCTGCGCTCAGCTGGTGTAGACATCGCTTGATTATGACAGAAATCTGATTATACTGATGATGTGTGTAAAGCGTGACTCTAAAGAGTGTAAGTCAGTGGACTCAGCCGCTGACTCGAAGCGCTCACTCAAGCAGATCCGCGAGTCTGCCGTTAGAACCCTGAGCAGGGCTTTATATAGCCGCGGCGCTGTGACGTCACAGCTCGAGCCGCTCGCGCTTCTTTTCTTTTTCTTTTTTCTTGTTTTGGAACAGCGCGCATTTCCGCTCAGTTTTCTGGTAATTTTGTCTTCAAATTAATACTAATACCATTTTCAAGCGTGTCAGGAGTTTGTTATTGTTAATATTTGAAATATGAACGTGGCTCACGCCGCACGTACGTCCTTACGTAAGCCCAGTGCGAGATCGAGCATTGTTTCTTCGGAGAGCACGACGCTCTGTTTACTCGAGCAAATGTACCGGTATGATGCGAATTAACCGTGTTTGGGTGAAACGCGACTTCACCGAAGCGCTGTGCCTGACACACAGGTGAGTAAGTTATTTCTAGTAAAATCTAGTAAAATCTGAATCATAGCATTATCTATACAGTCCTCCAAATTGTTATAGATCTTGCTAATGACAGCAGTCATGAAAGCTATGATTTGAGACAGAAATGACATGCAAGCACTAATCTAGTACAGGAGTTTGGTTCAGTGTTTACCTAAACAGCTCAGTTTGATTGGAAACTACAGATTCACGAATTACAGGTCACTGTATTGTAATTCACATGCTCAAATTCATCCGTACCACTTATAATTTATATACTTTATTTATTGAATAATTCATATTTGTTGTTCGTAAATGTTTCAGATGTGTGTGTTTGCTCAGAATCAGAAAGGGCTTTATTAACACAAGTACAGTTGTCTTGGTGTCAGGAGCTTCCAGTGCAAAGAAGAACAGACACACAAAAAGATATATAACACTAATAATGAGAATACACGATAAATAATAATGACTGTGTAGTTACAGTATAGCGAACTCGCCGCCTTCTGCTCTGAACTCAAACTGTGTCATTTATGTGATTTGAGCAGATGATATATTGATAAATTGGCGTAGACCAGAATAATCCCAAGTGTGTCTTTATTAAAGGGATTGAACTGTCATCATTTACTGTACTCTCTCTCTCTCTCGTGTGGATCCACACCTGTCCTGTATCACTGACTTTCTTCCGCTTGACCACACAAAAGAAGATGTTTTAGGAAAATGTCAGGGGTTTTATACAGTGAAAGTCAGTAGCCAAGCAAAATTATGATTTTGCTTAATAAATATATTAAGAAACGTTGGTCCGTTCTACTGAAATCAAGAGTACGCGATTCTCAAAAAGCATTCATGAAAGAAAGAGTGGATTTCAGAGATGAAACGTTTGAGAAGTAATTAAGGAATTAGTCACCGAAGTGGTTTAGTTGCCAGCATTCTTCAAAGTATGTCCTGTTGTTTTCCACAGAAGAAAGTCGCACAGGTATGGACTGACACGAGTGTGTGTAAATGATGACAGAACCCTCATTTTGGGGTAAACGATGCCTTTCAACCACATGTGTCAGCGTCCGGTCCTGGAGGGCCACTGAAGCTCCAACACCGTTTCTGGGAGCTTCTCATGAGTCTGAAGACCTTGTTTAGCTGCTTCATCTGTGTTTTCTTTAGGGATGGAGCTAAACTCTGCAGGTCACTGGAGACACATGGCACAGTATGCTTGTATACAAAGAGGTGATTATTTGAATAGCCTATCTGAATAAACTTTTGTTTCGATTCAGTGGTATAGAGTGTGCCTCAAACTCCCAAGTCCCATGATTTCAGCAAGCGAAGTGTCGTTACTCCATACTGTTTTGAAACTTTTTCGTTTCTGTTCGTCCTTGCAAACACAAAAACTCACGAACCGGTGTCTATTAAATGGTTTTAACTGATCTCTGGTCAGTTTTATAGTGTC